GCTAACCATGTCCCTTTAGTGGCTCGCATTATTTTATTAGAACGCGCATTATTTGTTTTCCGTGCCTTTCTGAATACCGACACCAACCCATCCCTGCACATCACATCCCCTGCACAGCCTGGAACATAACATTTATTTCCATGATCTGCCATTTTCGCTATTATCCTCGCTTGTTTCTTCACAATACCTGCAGAATTTAGAACATGGGCTGGTATATGCAAATGTTGGGGGCGTAACTATTAGTGTTCCCGACTGTAACGTCACAGTCGGTGTTATGTTCTGATTCGCCTATTTTTCAGTGGTCTTTTGCATGCACGAGATTTACATATGGAGGAGGAAACAATGGTGTTTGAGGCTCATGGCTCACATTTCCATGTACAGAACCGTTATTATTCAACTATGCCAAGGTAAACACACTTTTCCATTCTATGGCACCTTTAAGACTTTTATTTTATATTATTAAAATCTTTAATTTTATTAAGATAATTATTGTTTTTTCATTTTATTAATATATCTTTTTATTTATTTTTATTGTATATTTTTCATTAACTAAAAATAATATCATTCATATTCTTTATCCTATTTTAATATTCAATACTGTCACGTTACGCTGTTGAGGAAGCACAAGTCTTTAATAAAAGAAACTCAGGAGATATCCTGACAAATACAGCAAAACATGGTGACAAGTCACATTTCAAAATACATCATCCAAATCAACAAAATATAACTTTTATTAAAGAAAAAGTTACTTTATTAAGAAATGTATTTTATTATGTTTCAATTTTATTAAGATTTGTATTGTTTTATTTTTATTAATATATTTTATTTTTAAATATAATTTTTTAAATAAAGAATTATATCATCCATGTTCATGATCTTAATTTAATATTCAATACATCAAAACATGGCGACAATTCACAATTGTCACATTTCAAAATGCAAAATCCCAAAAAGTTACTTTTTTATTAAAGTGACTTTTTAATAATAAAACTTAATCTTTTGTCCAATTAAAGTGTTCACATACCCAGTGTTGGGCACAAATGAAGTGTCCAGTCCCAGCTTTAGACCTTTGGCCAGCTACACAGAAACAAGACAAAACAGTGCATTATTTAATAGGGGTGGGAATCGCAGGGTACCTCACGATATGATACGAATCACGATACATGACTCACGATAATATCACGGTACATCGATTCTGCGATAATCGGTATATTGCGAGACAATTCTATAATGATGCATCACGATATCTGTCTAACTATGAAAACAAAATGCCTGTGAAAAGGTTAAGTGCAAGTTTTCTCTCTTTATTCGAGTCCAAACTGTTAGAAAACAGCACAAATGTTCTGTAAATCAAATTTAACATGCTAAGGAAATTAATCGTTTTATTCTTGGACTTACTAAAAGCTTACACTTTTCTTTGTGTGTAAACCAACACATTTAACTGCTTATCAACTTTATATATAGCCTATATATAAACCCGGTACATTTCAAAATTTACCTGGAGTGCTTTCTCAACCTTTCCTCTCCTCTCATCGTAAAAACGGAGCCCCGCACACATGACATGCAGGGGAAAAAATAGCCATTCACATCGCCTCTTTTGCGCGCTCAGGTTCGTTATTTTAAATGTAGACGTGCGGCAAGCACACACACTGCACACTTCTGCGCCACATTATGGCTCTGACGAGGTTTTGTTTCGTCGTCCATGCCATAGGTGCATATTTATGTTTCTGCCGGTCGGTGCCCACTGCCTACTGCATAACGCGCACTTGCAATATCTGAGAGAGAGGGAGAGAATCCAGTTTTGTTGACATAAAACTGGACGCGCCGGCGCCGCTCTCTCTCACTCATTTAGTGAGGTAAATCCACCTACGATCCGAGCGGAGAGGCTAGGCTACTCACGGACTCAATATGCGCTCTGCAATGATAACGTGATCGATGCCTACAGTCCACGCTGATAGCTGTTCCGGGGCAATTTTTTAGTTCTCATCTCCATAAACATATATATAGCAGTAGAGCTAATACAGTGGCTGGAAATCTGTTTATCCTTCGGTTCCTCATACTTCCCCATCTTCATAGAGAACGCGGTTCATGGTTGCTCAGAGCACTTTGGAAAGAAGGTGGAAATGGCCGCAATTTCCACGCATTTGTTTAGATGCTGGGAGCAGGGAAATCTATATAGAGCGCCTTATTGTAGTAATATATTGTAGTAAATTGTAGTATTGTATTGTAGTAAAATATCGATATTTGGTGCCAGATATTCTCGTATCGCATGGAGAAGGACAACGATATATCGCCATATCGATATATTGTCCCACCTCTACTTCTTTGGAGACATTCTTCCCGAGCATGATCGCATGGAGAAGGACAATGATATATCGATATATTGTCCCACTCCTATTATTTAACCATTTAAACACTTTAGGCATAACGTTAGGATTGGCGACCTGGACTCACCTGATCTTCCAGAGTCACTTCAGTGGTCAGAACATTATCTGTGTTCCACTTCTGGTTCAAAGTCAAGCCCAGATCCTTCACTTTGTACTTGGTCTCCAGGTTTCCAGCCGCCTTTCCGGTGTCTGTGTTTCTGGAGCCGCCGGAGGAGAACTCCTGAGAAACGAAAGAGAAACACAGTGAAAGGATGCAGGGAAAGAGAAGAAGAACAATAGAGAGAGAGGAAGAGGACGGTTTCACAGATTAACAGGAAATGAAGAAGAAGGATGAGGAGGGTTGGGCTGCATGAGCTGCTCATAAAGTCATGGCAATTCATACTGGCGCCTAGTTAGTACTGAGTTAGATTGTAACTATCTCAGTATTTTATTTGGTTGCACCATCTGTTATCAAATCCAAAGCTTAAAACTACATAATTCAATTCATTCAGATTCAATTAAACTTCATAATATAAATATATTATTAAGACTTTTATTTTGTATTTAATTATTACTGTTTCTAAATGTAATATTCAATGCATCAAAACATGGTGACAATTTCAAAATGCATAATCCAAGATCAGCAAAATATTACTTTTATTAAATAAAAAGTTTTTATGAAGAATTCAATTTTATTATTTTGTTTAAAGATTTTAGTTTTATTTTTTATTTGTGTAAATATATTTTATTATTTTTATTTTTTATTTCATATTAATTAAAATTAATTAAAATATATAATTCCTGCAAGACTTTGATAGTTTTGGCAACAAGCTCTCCATAGATTAAAGCTTAACATAACATATATCTTTATTGAGGCACATTTGTAAACAGGAAATAGTGTTAAAAATTGTACATTTCACTTTTAACTTAATTATATAAATACAGAACACAAATTGAATTGAATTGAATTTTTTTATTTAATATTTCTGCATATAATCCAGAATGGGTACAAAAACCCAAACATAATTGAAACCAGAACATAAACTGTATACCAGATAGCTATATTGAGGCCACTGTTTATTTGGGTTTAAACTGAATTATGGGAACATCATTCTCACGCAGCAACGACAGACATGAAACCTCGATGTTGATGCAAAAACAGATTTAGCCAGGGAGGCTGAGCTGCCAAAAGACTAAACAAATTCACATCCTCATGTAAAACATCCCAGTCTTACCATCTGACATCGACGTCCAATAAAGAAAGCAAGAAAGACAGAAAGAGACAGGTTAGAAAAGAGATACACAATGCAAACATTCAGATTCATGTGGAATTCCAAACTGGGGTACTATCATTAACTAAAACCAAAACCTTAAAAAAAATTATATACTTGAAATTAATAAAAGTTATCTGAAATAAAAAATTCTCATTTTGCACTTAGTTTAACTAAGTATTAAAATAAATCAAAATAAAAATGAATAAAAACATGTAAAAATGACAAAACCATGCAACAAAATTACTAAAACTTTACAATTAAAATGGAAATTATAAAAATTATTAAATTGAATACATTAAAAAAAAATCTAAGTATTAATAAAAACTACAATTGTATATTAATAATACTAAAATAACACTGTCTGGAACAGGACCGTTCTGACCCAGATACAGACGAGAGCAGCGGTGGAGAACATGAATCAGCCACAAACACACAGACACACAGACACAGACACACACACAGACACACACACAGACACACACACAGACACACACACAGACACACACACAGACACACACACAGACACACACACAGACACACACACAGACACACACACAGACACACACACAGACACACACACAGACACACACACAGACACACACACAGACACACACACAGACACACACACAGACACACACACA